CAATGGCTGTTAACACTGCAGGATATGGCGAGAAACCGGGCTCAGTGGCGGTCGTGCTGTAGGCATCTTATTGGTTTGTCTGCCTAATCTTGTCTGTCTGCCAAGTCTACTGGCGAGCGAGGCATGTTATGATGCGTGGCAGTGAAAGCCGCAAGGAAGCTGTTGCGCTGATGTCGTTGGACTCGCCCAGAGGACTTGTCCCGAGTGCTTGTGTATGCATGGCTTAGGTGCTGTGCTCCCGCCTGTATGTGCTCCACCATTTCCGTATTCATGGCGTGTTAGATCCCACTTTTGTCCCCATTTTCTTGTAAAAATAATTCATGATTGTGTGGCAGCTAAGCATCGGTAGAATTATCGATGTACTGCTGTCTATGATGATGATGATGATTATGAACAGTTTGTTTCCATTTTAATTTAAAAATTGAAATTAAATATGTAATCAACAGAATATCACTTTACAAGAAAATGAAGAAATTAGAAGATGATATTAGGACTAGAGAATAACTTTTCTGTTCTTGTATTGATTCAACAAGTGTTGTTTATGAAGAATTAAAATCTATTAATAAACTCAAATATATACATATAGGACATCACAGATATGGTATCAAAACAAAAGAAGTCTGAACCACCGGTTATGCATTACACTGCTACAGCAGAACCACAGGTGATTGATTCATCGGGAGATCTAGAACCCAGTATATTCAAGGAGGTAAAGTGATTTGAAATTTAAACCATTTTAGTTTTAATAAGAAAGCGACACTAAATACATAAAAAAAAGTAAAATGTACACACAATTGAGTATATTTTGCCGTACTTTTGGAACACTGTAGCTTTAGCTGCTTTGAACAGATTTGCATATAAATGTTTCATTGACCATCTACAGTGTTGCTTCTAGGACACATACTTTGCATATTTACACTATTTTGTTTGCCTGCATACTAGTTCATGCAAAAAAACACGAAAGTATGCATCTTAATTTTTCATGCGCACCTGCCTTTTGAAATTTATTATGAATGACTTCATAACAATAGACCTCAATCATAACTGGAAAATTCCGAACAGTAATTAGCTAACTTGGATATGCAAGGGAATATGATTGGCTGCATTATGATGTCATTTGGTTTTGTTCGATATTCCCTTGATATTATGGGATATTGATGATTGAAAATGGTGGAAAACTAAAGATATGAAGACGTTCAAAAAAGCTGTTAATTTTTAAAAAATAATACATTTTTTGATCAAAACTATGGCAAAAATAGCAATAAATCAAGAGAAAAGGCACAGAGAAGATGACTGCAATGTAAGTTTTGTCAGTGTATGCATAGATATTTTCAGTACATACACAAATGAAACAAATTGCAATGATTCAATTACTGTTTCTTCAAATAAAAGTTACTTCGTCATGTTATACTTTTATGACTCACGAAGCTGATACCCACTTCATTACATAGATGGCTCACTTTCTGAAAGTCAGTGGGGGATTTGGTGCCCTTGAGAGAAGCAACACTGTTACTAGAATATGACCCTAGGTATTGCACCAAATTTGTATCTATTGGAAACATAAAGTAGACTTTTATTAGGAATGCTGTTGTAAAGGTGTTTAGAAAACTTCTTAGCATCATTTAACCCTTTCACTCTGACACCAATGTTAATTTCCTATGTTTAAAATGTTTTTGCTAATTTTGTTGTAGTGTTTGAAGTTTGCACAACATAGTTTCGAAGCCACTGAAACAGACTATTTATGATTTCATTGTAAATCCTTTGTTTTATGATGTTTTCTTTTAGGAGCACTCATAAATTGTGTAACATATCTAAGTTTACTGCTTTCATTACACTTTCATGCAATGCACACTTTACTGTTTAAAACTATAAGCATCTAATGTATTCAGAACTTATTTGGGATAAATCTTTGGTCTTCTGTGTTTCTCTGACATTCTCGACTTTAATATTTCTTGGACGATAAGAGAAAAAACCACTTGTATAAGTGAAAGCATTATTGATCCTGTTTTCTTTTCTCTCCTCTTTTTTTTTTCAAGTTTATTATGCTTAAACAGTGATGAACAGCTGCAAAAGAAAAGTAGTAAATGTTGATGAATCCCCAGGGTTTATCCGAAAATACTTTTGTGAAAGCATGTTATTGTGTTGAAGATATTGTGATAGGCACATGGCTTTTATTATGTGATCTACACAACATATACCCACTATGGGAATTACCCTGGGATAAATTATATGTGTTGCCAGTCTGTGAAGGAAAAGGAGATTAGTATATGCCATATATTTTATGGCACAATGCATACATAGAAACAGATATCATGGCATAAACCCTACTGCACAATGTCGGGAAATGTGTAAACTGTGTTAACTCTTTCAGCAAGGGCTCGGTCCTTGGGACCAACCTCATAACCACTTTGTATTTGTTATAGTTTTCATGCTATAACTTTTAAATTAGTAAGCAAATGTTAATGAAATTTGGCACATTATCAGTAAACATTACGATGCTTTCATATGCAAAATATAAAATTTTTTTATCGAGTCTTAAGGTTTGTAAAGCAATATTTTTCTCGTGCCTTTTTTGTCTTTTTGAATGTTGTCTATCTAACATGCAAAGTAATTTTCATTTTAAGATTAAAAATAATTTTATGTATCAGAAAATATTCAAATTTTATCTGTTATTTTCAGTAATTAATCTCTGTATGGGTTTGGTAAATTTGACTGATCTTGCAACCACCTCAAAAAATTAGGAAATAAACAAAATTATGCACCTTTCATCATAGAATGAACACAAATTATAACACGAAAACATAAATGTTTAGACGAAGTAGCTTAAATCTCATAACATTATAGACTTATGTATATTTATTATTTTTATTATATTCACCTTTTAGCTGTGCCTGGCTAACAATACACTATAGACTTAGTACTTGGACTTCACAGATATCTAATTTGAACTAGTGCTGCATTCAACATACCAAGTGACAAAAAATCGATGTTTATTTGTTTTTTAAATATTTACTTTTAAATTAACAAATTGAGTAATATATAGTTCTAAAATTTGAATTATAATCTAGAGTTTGATACCAAACTTATTGACATCAATTCATGAAATAGTAGTTCAATAAAATTTTGAATGCGAGTTAACAAACGAGATGACATGGCCTTTCACCTGCGACCCATCTCAAAAGGGTTAAACAAATCCAAGAACATTGTTGTTATATACATCTTGAAAAACTGTTCCTTTCTTTAACAAGATTTTAATTTCATCAGCAACTACTATTACCAAAGAAGTGTAATGTTAATGAAAATACATTTATTATAATGATAGAAAAATTTGTTTCAACATATGTATTTTTACGTTTTTAAAGTAATGACCCTTTCCTTAACTCTGTGTTGCCTGGCTGGGTGCATCCTACTCTGAGGGATAAATTGCTTTGTTGAATTAGTAAATAAATAGAAAATAAACTTGTAGTCATTCTTCAACACACTTAAAAGATCTTCAGAATTGAAATTCATTCAATTAAAACAGTTTTATTTAATTTTATACTTGACTATTATAACAATCACCAGTTTTGATTTTGGATTGAGTTCAGCACACTTGATATGAAAAGATAAGTATTTGTAAGTTTCCTGAATGTTAGTACTTAAAACCCCATAGAATGGAATTTGAAATAGCACTAAAATATATTTTGTAATTTCCATACAACTTTAGTTTTATCATAATTGAATAGAGTTGTTTAAACATTTATTTAACAACAAGTAAAAGCTTGGAATGATCTATTCTTTCATTGGGGGGGGGGGGGGTCTGTGAGCCAGACTAGTTTGGAGAATTCTACTCCTCATCAATGACCCTGGACATTACCACCAATGAAGCCTTTATAGTAGTGAGGTATCAAAATTCGAGATGGTGTATTTAAGTGTTTTACACTCACAAAAAAACAAACAAATGTTTAAACAACTCTATTAAACTATGTACCAGCTGCCCAGTGTCGGCTAACAATACGAAGAATTAAATTGTGGCAAAATGCTACAACTTCTTCAAATAACTATAGAACAATAGTCTTTTTTTGTTAGTGTAAAACACTTAAATACACCATTTTGATTTAGTTTTATCAGTTTTAACCAATCAGTGTTTCTCAACAACCTTAGTTGTTTTGGTGTGATGTAATTTCATATATCTCAGTTTTGAGAAGTCATAGGCTAGCGATCCAAAATGTAATTAAAGCTCTATTTCTGTTGTTTTTTAACGGTATTGTAAGTCAGTATGTGTTCTAGTTCTTCAGAGATTCTCATAGAGATTGGAACAGTTTAATTAAAGCTTAGCTTGGTTATATGCTACTAGAAGAAAAAAGATGTTTGTGAAAAACCACCAGTGTAGTTATAGTCGTATTTTTTGTTTTAAAGTTTGCTTTATCATTTTATACTTCATTCGAATGTTGCTGTATGTTAAAAAAGAGCTGTTATTCGTGGATCAAGATGAGGTAGAGAATTGTTAGACATGGTTTGATCATTTTACACTCAATGTGTCTTAGTGTTTATATTAGGTCTTATCGGATTAAGTAATTGCTTGAATGGGCAAAGAATATCATCAAAAAGAAATGTAAAAAAAATGTAGGAATGAAAACTAGGTTTAGAGCTTATTATATATGTTCAATGAAACCTGATTAACAATTAAAAGAAAAAGCTTGTTTATAATTTTAGTGTGGCAAAAAAAGTTATTTTTTCTGTTCACTGGTGATTGTATACACAATGAAACAGTGTGCAGTGTTTGTTGATTTAAAACAAAGATAAAATTTACAGTATTATAAAATTAGAATTCTAGAAAATTTTCACAGAAAATGCAGGAGGATATTAAAAATCAGTAATTGAAATCTACAACGAGGGTAATCATTTTTATCTATTTCTTAAAAAACACAATGAAATCTTTTGACTTTTCACGGTTGGAAATTCATACATTGTTAAACATTGCAAATTAAAGTCTGACATCAACACGTGGTACTGAATGATGTAAAGAATTTCAATGTGTTATCTGGCTCATTTTCCTTATCAAAATATTTACCTGCATATCATTGTTTGGCTGAACTAAATGACCCTGAAATGGTTAAAGAAAGGATAAAGTAAGTTTTGTAACTTACAAGTCAATATGTATAGTTACATACTGGACAAAGCAGGCATTGCCTTTTAATATAAAAGTGGAACATGTGAGTGGCATTTTAATAATTCAGAACATGATATACATTTCTGTAGGTGATAACTACACAGACCTTAATCCTACTAAGATAGAATAACTTGAGAGTTAGATCAACCAAATAGATTGAATGCATTTCTTTCCCTTAATCTTTCCTTAGTATTTGTTTTTATTTCCACAATACTTTCTGCCCAGCTAGTTTCCAAGTTGAACACAGTTTTATTTATTACAATATTGTTACGTATAATGTTTTTTATACCATGTTTTAATCATTGTTTTGTCAGTATCCCTGGTTTTTTTTATAACATTTATAAAACATCACATAATAAGTTGAAGTATTACTGCATATTTAGTTAGTGTAATACATTTTCAATTCCTTCAATTGATAAATAATTCATTTATAGTGCAAAGAAAAGATGAGACCAGTGAAAAAGGCATTGAAGCAAATTGATAACCCAGATCAAAATCTAGAGAAAGAGGAGCAGCTACGACACACTCGACAGTGCTTATTAAAAATAGGAGATCGTATAAAGGAATGCTTGGCTGAACTTAATGACGCTGAAAAGATTAAAGAGTGGAGAAAGTAAGTTACAGAAGTTGAATATTATGGGATGTTCACAGCTATTATTATTATACTTTGGTAAAAAGTTAAATCCTTAAGATTTTCAATCATTATTTATAACAAGTCCATGGTTATTTGTATGGATAGTGAAGACATTTGTGGTAACATGTTTTACTTTAATTACAAAATATTCTGATTAAGGTCAAGAATGTTATTATGCTTTTATTGTAAATCTTATAAAATTAAAATTTGCATCATTGTTATGATCACTTTGTCAGTAGGACTTTGATAAAACAAAAGTTAAGAAACTTGTACTTATCATTTACATAAAAGTTGTATTATATGAACGTTAATTATTATTTTTTTAATGATATGGATTAAAAATAGCCTTTGATTTTTTAAAATTGGTGCATGTAAGTAAGCAGGGCAAAGAAACATTATTTCTGTAAATCAAGGTTTGAATATAAAACAGTCAAAAGGTTAAAGTGGTTATTGGTATGGAAAAGCTGTTCAACTTACCTTTTTGTTTGGGGGGGGATTGTACAAACACCCACGATGATGATGCATACATCTGTCAAATTTTTATAAAATATGCCAGAACTTTTGTTATAGAAGTGGAAAAAAAAGTTTCAATGATGTTTTGAAAAAATGATAAATAGTAACTAAAGAATTATGACTCTGTGGACAGACTTACTCTAGTGGTTATCATGAAACTGAGAATTCATGATTCATGGTCCCAAAGGCATATTTTGTACTTTGAGACTATAGGTGCTCTGTAAGAGTGATGGTGAAATCCCACTGTTTGGTCACACATAGATAGCCCAAGAGTTGCTGGTGGATGCTGTTTACTAGATGCCTTCACTCTTGTTTAGCAATTCAAAATTAGGATCAACATTGTGCAGAAAGTCCTTTGTTTAGGTTTGCATAAAAATTCTGAAACAGAATTTTCAAACTATTCCATCTAAACAAAATATGTCTTAGAACATCATCTATATAGACGCACGCTATATGTACAATTTACTGGTGTACAAAGATTTATAATTCTTTAGTATTTTCACAAAATTATCTTTGTTGTGGAGATTGTTATATTAAATGCCTGAGACTGTATAGTAATACTAAAACTTTCTGAAGTGCTGAATGTCTTACCATATGTACAATTTTCAAATCAAAAGTAGATGAGATTAGAAATATTTTTTTCTTATGTGATTTTGAGTTAGATTTGGTAAAACTGTGTTGAAATGAATTTGTGATTCAGATTTATATGAATACTGTTGATATTACTCATCAGTGAACAACTATTGTATTACTCACTTTAATCTGTTATTTGGGCCGATGTTTAGTATTTATCCTTAATATTTCAGCTACTTATGGACATTTGTTTCCAAGTTCACAGAGTTTAATGCAAAAAAACTGTATAAGTTGTACAGACAAATTGTTAAGAGATCTGTTGAAGATAAAAGCCATAGTCTCAAAGACAAAGAGGGCCATCGGCAACGCACAGAAGAGGCAAAATCGAAGCACAGGCTTCTTGTAGATAAACCAAAGTCACATGATGAGGTAAGTTGTACTTTTTTTTAAGGACATATGATGCATTTTTTGGCAAATTAACAAGACAGTAGTATTACAGTTTGAATCCTAAAATGATTATAAATAAAAGAGCACATTTAATTTTTTTTTTTTCAGTCATGAGGAAGAATCATAATGTAATATAAAATTACCATATTCAATGTAAAGGCTACTTATTTAATTATGATTAAATTATTGGTCATGCATTCAGGTTATGCTTGAAACTAAAAGGTAATCTCAAGATCACAGAAACCGGAGTTTTGTTGCTTGTTAATTCTTAGAGTGAATCTCCGGTTGGTTTTTGCTCACAGAGCACAATGGTAGTTATAGTTGTTGCTGTCACTTAAAAGTTCATAGCTTGACTCTTTTTCTAATTTCATGTATAAATATTCATTTAACTTTGTCTTTTATAATGTTCTGTTTAGTCATTTACATTTTACTGACAAAATGTTCAGAGGTTTGTAAATGGATTATGTTGTTTTGAAAATAATTACATTGTACAAAAAACAGAATTGTTGATAAACAAATGTTATACATGATCATTTTTGCTGTAGCATTTATGTGAAGAGACAAAACTTTTTTTTTATCCTAGTTACTATGTGGCCTGGTGGTTAGGGTGCTCGACTTGCAATTTGCGGGTTATGGGTTCGAATTCCCATTATCAAACATGCTTGCCTTTCAGCTGTAGGGGCATTATTATTCATTGGTAATCCAAGTGTTGGCAGTGCATGGTGTTGATTAGCTGGCTTCCTTCTAGCCTGTTACTGTTAAATTAGGGATGGCTAGTGCAGATAGCCACTTGAGTAGCTTTGCACAACACTGAGAAGACAAACAAACTTAGTTGATATGAATTGAAGTTTTCAGAAAATGGGAAGAAATTAGAGATGTAATATTTGTACTTTTATAAGGAAAAAAAGAGGACTGCATTAGTGTTACCAATTAAAACCGATGATTTTTCTTCTTGTCATTTCAGTTTTCCAGCTAATACAGTCAAAACCTGTAGAAAGGGTTTGTATTAAGATATATGCAACTTCTATATCATCTTTCACCCCCACCCCATTGCACAGCAGTAAATCTACAAACTTAAAATGCTAGAAATTGGGTTTCAATACCTGTGGTGGACACTGGAAAGTTAGCCCATTGTGTAGCTTTGTGCTTAACTACAAACAAGCAGTTTTCTTTTTTTTGCTTCTACTAATGAAAAGGTACTTTTCTGCTTCACCTCTGTCAATATTTTGTGTTTGGAAATGGAAAATACCCAACTTCTTGTGTTAAGTAACATGCCACACATACTTAACTTGCTTAATATAGGAATTTATTAACCAAAGGAGGTTCAGGTTACTTTTGAGTGCACATTCATAACTTAACTTACAAAATATAATTCTTACTATTTCAACAGCTTTTTTTTTACTCAAAAATATTGAACAGTTGACATTTTAACATTACGTAATGCTTATTTAGATTTTTTCATAAATAAAATTCAAAAAATGCTCAGTAATACTGTAAATGTAATATATTTCTTTATCTCAGTCAAATTTCAACATTTTTGGTTAGTTTGACATTTATCTTATTTTTATGCATTCTCTTTTTTCAACTATGAAAATTGTGGATTGGTCCTGTATTAAAGCTCTTGAGTTTGATGCTAGGAAGCCAGGTTTGTATCCATACGATGCCACAAAATATTCCCTGTACTTTACTGGTTCAATAAAAATATCAAAAGTAGTAATTTCATGATTATTTATACAACTACAGTTTTAACCATATCCTCCTTAAGTACTAAGAACATGACTGTGTGGTATTTGAATATACCATGCTTTCTGTCTTCTTATAACATAATAGTATTTATTCTTTTTTCTTTCTTTATATGTACATATTTGAGGTAACACTTGGTTGAGAAAGCTGTTAAGTTGACTTTGTTTTAAAGCTACCTTTGGTCATATTTTGTTCTCAGAATTGGATAATTCCTGTTACTGCCTGGGGATGATATCAATAGGACACATTGTAAGGATAAGAGTGACTATCAGTTCCTTAGCATGTATGGTGGGTGTTTGAGTGCTGCTGGTTGGTTGCCTTTCATTTGGTCAGTAGCTCAAAATTGGGGACAGTGATAGATAGCATCAGTAGCTTTGTCATAAATAAATACAAAGTACAATTATGAATTCATTGATTAAATAGTTCTTATTTAAAGCTAATAATCATCAAAAGGGGAGTTTCTAAGCTTAATGCTCTGTAACCTAAATTGCAATAGTTACATTTTTGAAAATGGTGAGGCTGGTTATGGCTGTTGGTACTTCAAGATGACGTTTTGAAATACTTCCCAACTGTGCAAGAACCCTGAGATATTTTATAGTCTCCTATGTTGTTTTTTTATGTCTATTATGAATGTTATAGGAATATTCTTTTTATAACTAAACATCAGGTAAGGGTTTTTAAAGGCCAGGTGTGGCCTTGTGGTTAGTGTGGCAGCCTTTGGATCGGAGGGTTCATCATTCATGTCCCGGTACTCAAAAAAGGGAGGGGAAGAAGAATAAAAATCTCCACACATTGTGGCCATGGGTGTATTATAAGAGTGGCAATCAAGTCCAACTATTCAGTTATAGGAGCCCAACAGTTGGTGGCGAACACTGTCTACCACCTTCTTTCTAGACTAGCAGTTAAATGGTAGGAACAGATAACTCATGTAGCCATCTTATAACTTTTACTGAATATCTGAAATAACAAGAAGAATATTTAAGTTTAGTGAGTGTGGTTAAACTAAAACCTGGGACAGTAAATTATTTGAATGAAAAAAAAAGTAATTGTTATGCCATTTTTAAAATGAGGTCAGTATTCACTAGTCTTTGAAAGTCATATCATTTATGTTTGTGTAATTCACAGAATGTGTCAGTTGTTCAGTTGGAAAAATAAAGTATCAAAAGAAATATACTGGTGAGAACATCAAACAAGTTAAAACAAATTAGGTATATTAAATAGAACTCTCTGATCAATAAATGTAAAAAAGAAGTCTAAAAATGAAAGAGTATTGTTATATTCTCAACACTTTTACAACGAAGTTGCTGAAATTTCACAACCTAAAAAGCAAAACAAATGCTTAAACAAATAATATGAATTTTTTTCACACACAAACTATATGCTACTTACAAAGTTTGTACCAAGTTTCATGTAATTTTACTGGGAGAACGTAAAAGATTTGCAAGTTTTTTTAGCATCCCAGCTGTTATTAGTTTTTAAGCCTAAAAGTTTTTGTTTTTTTTAGCAGTACACAAGTTGTGTATGTTTACAAACACAGATATTTCTGTATTTTGTTTGTCTTATTGTCATTAATTTTTATTTGAGACTTGTTTCTTTACAGTCTAGTCAACATAGTCAACACTCTGCTAAATCTGACAGATCAGGTTCGTCACTAAAAAGGCAATTTGAAGGAGAAATGTACACTTCAGAAAGGTTATCATCTGCAAAACGTTTGTATGATGGAAGAGACAGGTATCTTGAGAGGAAAAGTGACAGACGAGAGGGGCAAGTTTTTATTATATGTATATTGATTAACCTTTTTTTCATTATTAACTAATTGATAACACCATACTTTGACCATAAAGTAATATGTGCTACCTTATAGTGAAACAGTTACCAAAATATATAAAAGAATCGCAAAACACTTATTAAAAGTGTGTATGTTAACTAAATATTTCTCTACACAAGCTTGGTCAAATTGACCAACCACATGACCACTTTGTACTCATTTAGTCATTATAGTTTTGATACTACTAACTTTTAATATTGTATGTGTATCTTCACAAAATTTGGCAGACTTTCAGTAAACATTATAAGTCTTTTACATACAAAAAATCTGATTTTTTAGTAAAGATGTTTTTTAAAAGTAAAAAAAAAATGTCTGTGAATATATTTAATCTTTTTATTTGACTAGTTTGAGTGCAAAGTGATTTTCATGTTAAGATTAAAAATACTTTTATTCATCTCAAAAATCTGAAATTTCACTTCTATAATCTATAAAACCTCCTAGGTATATTTCAAATGTTTTTTAGTAAAACTTTTTATTTTATTTATTATTTTCTGTTCCTTGAATCTATACATGGTTGGTCAGTTTGACTCCAAATTGTGACATGAAACTACATTTGTTTATCCTAAGTAGCTTTAAACTGGTAACAGTATACATCTATTTATACATCAGTTTTATTGTTTTTTTTTTGCTCTTTGTATAACTACTAATTGTGCCACTATAAGTTATAAATCACTTCGGAATGTGGAGGTCATGTTACACTATGAAATTACATTACTCTCGAGCTATTCCGAGCTGCTTGCATGTCTACCTCATGAAAATTTTTTATGTTATTATTATTATTGTATATTTTACCTACTCTAACTTTAACTAACCTAAAGAGATTCCTATTTTTACATTTTAGTTACTTTTTTAAATAATAGAGAAAGAATACACATTAAAAACAAAAATAAAGTACATACCTGGACCTTCTTTTTTTTTCTGTCGACTGTTGATGACTCTTAACCATGCTTTTTTATACTAATGGTAGAAGTGCACTAAATAATTTTTATTTAATTGAATAATGCACCAAAGAACATAGAATAATAACCTGCAAAAAGCAGACAATGTCCCATATCACAGTTTTTCTGGCTTTCTAACTATGCTACAAGAGCCATTACAAATTCATCCAAGCTAGTCGATATGTTTCCTATGGGGACGAAGCATGTACTAAAAGGGAAATGGACAATTCTCTGTTCAGGAAACAACATAATATAATATGGCTTTCTATTGTTTATAAATAATATGTTATTAAACTTAAGAGAGAACTATTAACTCTTTCAGCAGGGGCTCGGTCCCTGGGACTGACCTCATAACCATTTTGTGCTTGTTTTAGTTTCATGCAATATGTTATTAAATTAGATAGCGAATATTAACGAAATTTGGTAGTTTATCAGTAAGCATTGCAATGCTTTCATATGCAAAATATCAAATTTTCTTATTAAGTCTCAAGGTTTATAAAACAATGTTTTTCACATGTTGCCTATCTATCATGCAAAGTAATATTGAAATTTCACATGAAAAATCTCTATAATGTCCAAATAGTTATGAAACGTTTCTCAAGAAAAAACTTCATATTTTATCTGTTATTTTCAGTAATTAATCTCTATACAGGTTTGGTAGATTTGACCAATCTCGCAACCACCATAAAAATTAGGAAATAAATATAAATTATACCTTCTTCATTCTAGAATGAA